TCTGTAAGTCTTAAGAGTAGGAATAATTTTTAATAATACTTTCAATACTATAATAAGATAAATAAAAAGAGACTATTTTTCTACAAAAATCATATAATTCATCATTTCCTGTAAACTCATTCATCAACCAATCGATTGTCTCATTCTGTAGTATAAAGTGTTTTACTGAAGAGTCTCCTTATCAAACATGTATTCCCCGAGACCAGGACCCACTCGTTTCAGGTTAGTCACGTAATCGGCCAACTTCTTGATGGCGTCCACCTGTTCTGTCAGATAATGGGTCTCCAAGAAGTCCTGGAACTGTTTGCGTTGCGAACAAATAATTACAAATTAATTAATTACAAAAATAAATGTCATTATTCTCAATGCTATTCACAATAATTCCAGTTTTTGTCAAACATTTAGTGAACTTAAGTTTTAACACAAATAAATTTTCCTTTAAGTTTGTATTAATAGGTATTTAATAACTCAATAAATTCAAGGAATTCATATGAGAAACGGAAAATATTTTGAAGGCTTTCAACTTAATTACAAAAATAGTTTTACAAAAAACAGGCCAAACCTGAGGATCGTTGTGTTTTTGGGCGATGGCGTGCAGATCCAACAGAGACTGGTTGACAGTCTTCTCGAGCTCGAGCGCCGCCTCCATGGCCTCCAGCCCTGAGCTCCACTCCTCTTTGGCCGGTTTGGTGACGTCTTGGAGGACAATACGACCGCCGCGTTTGTTCTGGAAGTCCATGAGCTTCTGGGCGTGTTCTCGCTCCTCGTTTGAAGACTCCTGGAAGTACTTCTGGAACCCCGGGAGGGCCACGTCGTCCCGATTGAAGTGATAGGCCTTCACACATATGCCACACATCGGTGCAAACAATTGAGTAAATTGATGATCATTTGACGGCATTCAGTGGTTACTTACCATCTGTTGGTAGACATAGGAGGCGTACAGTTCCAGATTGATCTGCTTATTAACGCCGGCTTCAGACTCCTGGTGATAGTTCTGTCGCACTTGACTTACTTTCGACATCTTTATCTCAACCACGAATATATATCCAAACGAAAGGAACAATTAAAATAAAATTCTTATTCCGAATAAATCAAGAATTTCGAGAATATATTCTCAATGGTTATAAACAAGCGATTCGTGAGTCTTATGAATATAACAATTATGTATCGATTATTAGGTGTTGACTATAAATAGCAATAAATTAGTGTTCAATTCAATGATAATAATTGCAATGAAGACAGAGATGATTGAAACAGTGGAGTGAATGGATGTCCGTTCAAACAC